AGTGTCCTGGGGGGACGGAGACCCCTAAGCCTCTGTGGGGTGGTACTAGGGGTCAGAAAGGCCTAGGGCGAGCCCTGGACCTTTCACTGATTTGCCATGTGACCCAGGTAGGTCACGGAAGCACCTGGGGCCTCCGGGTGTCCCTGATCAAATGACATAGTGGGTTTATGGAGCCTGGCTTCAAAACCCCCACAGGCCACCCCCAGTCACCCTTGGGACAGCCCTGGGGGTGGGTCTGTCATCTCTCCCGTTTACATCTCTCCCAGGGCTGGGTGACCCACAGCCAGCCTTCTGAATGTCAGCCCGATCGTCCCCCAAACACAAACAGCCATCTGGGACGTGCGGGGCCAGCAAGGGCCTCGGCTGGATGACTCAGAGCCCCAGGGTCCCCTCATTTTTCCTGAGAATCATGCATGAACCCCCGGCTCAGGCCAAGGAGGCCGCAGCCTTACGAGAAGCAGAGAACCCCAAAGGACCACGGACAGTGACCCCACAGTCGGCACCAGGGCACGTCGGCTGCCAAGAGGAGTTGGGGAGGACCTGCGAGCACGCTGTGGCCCGCGAGGGCTCCCGAGGGCCAGGCCCCGGGGGAACGGCTTTAGGTGGACTTTTTTTCTCTAAATGGCCCCAGTGGCTGCCTCTCTCTAATTCCCACTTCACGGGTAGGAAACTGAGACGCAGAGGAGGAGAGGGACTTGTCCAAAGTCACCCTCCTGGGAAGGGGAGTTGTCCTCAGAGCTGATGTGGGTGACCCAGGCCACCACAGGACACCGTCCCCGAGCACGACTCCCACCTTTAAGTAGAACAACAGAGATTCCGACCCAGGTGCTCCCTAGCTCCAAGTTCCACTCACGTCTGAAATCTCACTGCCCCGTCCCCGCAGCCCCGAGGTGGCAGGGGCTCAGGAGATGAGCTCAGGGAGCTTGAACGCCCTGCCCCAATTTCCAGGGCTCAGGAGCACAGGCTTGGGGACCAGAGGGACGTGGACACACCCGGCCATTTCCTCTCCTGCAGAAGGGTCTTGGCATCACGGATCAAACTCCGCCTTCCCTTGCCTGGAAGAGCTCGAGGCCTGCTTTCCCTGTTTCCCCTACAGCTAAAGCACGAGCCTGCGGCCTGATCCTGGTCAACAGGATTGTCACGGAAGTCTGCTAGGATGCTCCGGGGAAAGATCTCACCCCCAGGAAAAACAGTGGAGAAAATGCCCCTCTTCCTGGGTAGGACAGCATTGGGTCTCCATTTGAGGACTAGAACTGGGCAGCCATCTTGTGATGTGAGGCTTCCAGCTGAGGACCAAGTCGTTGGCAGGGGTTGGAGTAGACTCTAGAACCCTGAGGGCATCGTGGAGCCAACAACTCCGCCCTACCCCAGTCACCCTGGAGAGTGGGCTACACGGGATGGTTCACCTCCTCTTTCCTATGGAAGCCACCTGGACTTTTCCATTCTGTTACTTACAGCCCAGAGCAGCCCTGCTGGACACAGCACCTGATCAGCTCGCTGGAAGGATTCCGGTGAGACAGCGCACACGGAGTCCCCTGACCGAGCCCGGCACCATCAACAGAAGCTACTCTAGAAACCTGGGCCTTCCCGAGAAGGCAGACACTCAGGGCCGGTCCAGGGGTGCCCCTCGCTCCACCGAGAGAAGCCTACAGTTCTCCCAGAAAGCCCAAGTCCCATGGCGGCCCAGCACCTCTACAGGGACACCGGGTGGGGCTGACCCCCTCCACACAGGAACCAGTCAAGCCGCCTTCTGCCTAATGGGTTTTGATTTTTGCTCCCCTGACAGAGCAGCGGAGGCCTGTGCTCTTGTTTGCTCGAGTTGCCAGAACATCCCATCAATTATTAACGCTCGGCTCTGCCTTCCTGGTCCTGCGGGCAGAAGGAGTCTGGGGCCACCCAGCCCACCGGGCCCAGAAGGACTCTGCTCTCCTCACCCCAACACCACCTGCTCTGCCAGGTGCTGAGCTGAACCTCGACAGTGTGGAGGCTGCGAGCTGGGCCTCCACTTCACAGGTGGGGGGTGGGGGGAAGGTAGGTGAGGTGGGGGAGGGGAAGGGGGAGGGGAGGTGGGTGGGGGAGGGGAAGGTGGGGGTTGGGGGTGGGGGCGGGGGGGGTGGGCTGAGAGGGTTGAAGAAACCGCCCAAGGTCCGAGGCTGGGGAGATGGCGGAGCTGGCCTAGAGAGAGGGTCTGTCCTTGTCCTTCAACATGGGACATGTGGCCACGTCTGCACCTCACAGCCCCTGGGAATGACCCCCCACTTGTCGTCTCCCTTTGTGGCCTCTGAGAAAGGCCGTGGTCCTCCCTGTTGTGACAGGCCAGGCGTCCCACCTGGGGGGCTGAGGCAGGCCAAATGCCGATGACCGTGGAGGCCAAAGGCCCAGAGGACACGCTCGCCCACAGGCGGGCAGTGAGGTCCGCAGGTTCCCAGACCCGAGACGGTGGCGGCCATCTGTGCAGTCCCCACCATTCGCTCACTCACTCACTCCCAGGCAGCTCCTTGGAGCAGCTCTTTGGAGCGCCTCTGGGCGACGCCCGCTGGGAACCAGGCGGTGCGTGGACTCCATGGCGCTCACACTCCTGTGAGTGTGAAACAGACACACGGGAAGCAAACACGATTCAAAGGTGCACAAGGCCCAGGCAGGAAAGACACAGCATGGTGCGGCCGAGTGAGGGGAGGGGCCTCGATGGACAGGAGTCAAGAAAGGCCTTCTGTGGCCACTGCTCAAGTGGGGAATGAGGGCCAACAGCTGGCTGTGGGACAGGCTGGGGCAGCGCATCACAGGCAGCGGGAGCAGCAGGTGCAAAGGCCCTGAGGTAGGATAAGGCCTGGCCTGGGTGGGAACAGCAAGGAGGTCAGTGGGACCAGAATTGAATGGACTAGAGGAGAATGGAGGACATGAGCTCAGAAAGGTCCCGAGGAGCAGACTCTATAGGCCCTCGAATGCCGTGACGGAGTCTCGATTTTATTCTGAATAGCTGGGAAACCTCGGGAGGATTTTAAATAGATGAATAATGTGATCCAATTTACATTTTGAAAAGTTCACTTTGGTGGTTGTGTGGGGAATGGCTTGCAGGGGGCAAACGGAGAAGCAGGGAAACCGGGGAGGAGGCTGAGGTACTTAATCGTGTGGAAGGAACAGGGTGTTCAAAGTCACACTTGGGTTTGAATTTCTGGTTACTCCTCTTAGCCTGCTGTGTGACCTTAGGCAAGTTACTCCGACTTTCTGAGCCCCACTATGTGTTAGGTATTTGCTCAACGGCAGTCAGGAACCTACACTAGAGACAGTGGGCCTGTCCACCTTCCTTACTTCAGCCCTGGCTGCAGAAAATCCTAGACGGTCCATCTGCCAGGACTGTGAACTGACAGCCCAGTCTGGGATCATGGAGAGGTCACGGAGCTCGTCCCCGTGGTGAGCGGATTAACCCGAGGGAGAGGAGAGGCTGCCTGTACCCAAACATTGCCTCCTGAAGCCGGAGCGCCTGCGCCCTGCCACATGGCCACACCAACGTGCCCTTTGCCTGCTTCTTCCCAAGAGGGAGGGCACCGCCCATTTCCTGCCCCTTGGTCTCCCGTCTTGGGACATCGGGGAGGAGGGAGCTCCTCCAGGATGTGCAGTGGTGGGACCTGTGTCAGGCCTGGAAATAGCAAAATAAGTCTGTTGATCCTAAGCCGGTTAGGGGCGGGGGCCTCTGTGCTCAGAGGGAGGCTTTCTGGACACGAAACCCGGGGGCAGGATTATGGCCAGCGGCCGCCCACAGCTTCCGGGGGGAAGCCAGGTCTGGGAACCTCCCTGTCCTTTTTAGGGTCCATGGGCAAGGCTCCTTCCGCCTTCCTAGGGGCCGCCCTCTCCCACGGTGTCTCCTGGGGCAGCCAGACCTGGGAAAGGACCCACACAGTCCCCTTCAGACCAGGGGCCAGTGAGGCGCTGAGTGACCCCAGGCTGAGAGCCTAGGATGGATGGCCCCCCAGCTCATAAGTCACAGCTGAACGCAGGACGTCCCCTCCCCCTTTCCTTGGGCCATGAATCTGTTTTCCTGCCCCCCCGCCCAGGAGTGCATCATCTTCTCCCAAACCAACCCTGCTGGATCTCACCATCAGCCTCTCTCTCTCCTGGACCCCCGTAGTCATGAGCACACTGTGATCACCTACCCCTACGCCCAGCCCGCCGGCCACATGAGGACAGGCCCCAATTCTCCAGGCACCCTGAATCCCCGCCAGACTCAGATGAGCTGCCCAGCCGCCGGTCACCACATGCCCTGCCCTGGCTCCTGCCCCTGCCCCCGCCGTTCCCAGTTCCTTCGACTTCCACTGTCACCAGGCAGCCCACTGGGCGGGATCAGACGCCTCCCTGCCCCTTCCTCTGCTTTCTCTCCAACTTTGAAATTCACCCCCTCCTCCAGCAGCCAAGGCACCTTTACACGCTGCATCAAACCACTACGGGAAGAAACTCACCCAACCCAGAAATGAAGAAAGAGCCAGCAGCCCTGTCCACAGGCCCACGGCAGCTGCGGGCACGGTATCGTCCACCCACCCCTCAGTGTCCCTTTGCCGCGTTTTCCTTAATTCTGCTGAGACTACCCGGCAGAATCTCTGCACCCTCTAACACACCTGGCAGCTGCTTTTATTTCTTCCTGGGGCAAGAGGGGTTGCCAAGAGCTGCCCTCTCCAGCCTGGGCTTGGGACTTCAGGGAACCAGACCCAGCTCTGCCCCGGCCCAGCAAGCTCCATTTCCTTCCGCCCCTGGCTTTCTGGCTGTGGCTCTTTGTGAACCCTGTGAATCACTTCCCCCAACAAGGTGGGCCAACACAGCACTGAAGCATCAAAGGTCAGGCCATCAGTGCCCTTCGGAGAAGTCAGAGGGTGTTGGTCCTCACCTCTGGGACTCGGCCAGAGCCCCTCTCTTACTGGGCTTCATCGCGGCGAATGCAGCGGAGTCCCCAGTCATGGCCCTGGCCTGGGCTGAGCGCCCAGGCCCCCAGCCCCGGACCCCGGCCTCACCTTGGCCGCCACGGAGGAGTTGGGCTTCTCCAGCAGGTCCCAGAGCTTCTTCCTCTTCTCGGCGCAGCACGTGTTGTCGAACTCCTCGCCCTCGCGCTCGCGCAGCGTCTCGGCCTCCCGCTTGAGCTCCTCGTTCATCTGCTCCTTCTTCTGGTGGTAGCGGGCCTGGCAGCAGGACTCCAGGTAGATCTCGTCGATGCCCCAGTAGTCCAGCTCCTGGCTGAAGCTCAGCGCGCACATCTCCTCCATCATGTGCAGCCGCCCGGTGCGGTAGAAGTTGAGGATGGAGGTGAAGGCGCCCGGGTGGCGGTCGAAGAAGTACTCGTTGTCGTCGAGGCTGTAGTCGTCGCACACCTCCAGCAGCGAGTCGTGGGTGTTGCAGTCCCGGAGCTTGCCCAGCCGCGTGCGGGGCAGGCGGTCCAGGGTGCGCCAGAGCACCTCGTGCGCCAGCCCCCCGACGTTGAGGCGGACGCGCCGCGAGCACGCCTTGCTCCGCACGATCTCCATGGGCTCGGGCGGCAGCGAGCTGGTGGAGCGGGAGCCATGCTTCGTCATGCCCGCCGGCATCGCTGGTCCGGCCGCCCCCGCCCCCCCTGCCCCCCCAGGCCGCTGTCACTGGACGGCAAGGCCCTCTGCCGCGGGGGAGGGGGGCAGGGAGCGCTGTGGGCTGCTGGGGTGCAGGGGTTCGCGCGGGCGGGCGTCACGGCCGCCTTCTCACCTCCATCCCGACGGCTGCAAGGCAGAAAGCGAAAGCGGACGCGGGTCAGCAAACCCGGAGCTGGGCATGGCTCCTCCCCGCCTTTCCACTGGGGTCCCCGCAGACCTTGACCTTCGAGGTTTAAGCGGCTCAAGGGGGTAGGACGGCTGGACGCTGTCCCTCCCGCCGGTGCTGAAGTCCGCCCCACCCCATGGATGGAGGGAGGGGCCGCCCTTGGGGCGGGGAGAGAGCCCCAGAAGGAGCCCCTGGACCCCCCGGAAGCCCTACCCTGGGCTTCCGCGGCCCTGGAGCGACCTAGCCACTCGGGGCGCTGTCCGCCCCGTCGAGTGCTGAAACTCCCTTCCCTGTGGGTCTCTCGTTTGAGGCCCGAACCTGGCCCCGCAATGTGGAGGGAGGGGAACAGCATGAAAAACTTTCTTCCTTCCTTCCTTCCTTCCTTTTTAAAATGACTTCTCATCTTCCACCTTCCTTTGCTGGAGATAACCAGGATGGGGGCAGGGGAATGGCAGTGGGTTTGCTTTTTCGAAATCTTTAAAGATCTCGGGGAGATTCTGGGGACTTCCAGATGCCCACCTGTCAGAGGTCACCGTGGGCAGCGTGTTCACCTGTCCCTCTGCCCCGGAGCGACCCCTCTGCACATATCACCGGGGCACCTCGGGAGGTCGCTCGGGCGACTGGGTGGGCCCCAAAGACGCAAAGCCAAGCCTCTTGCGGGGTTCCGCCCCTCCCTCTGCGCCCCCTACCCCACCGCAGGAGGGGCACGAGGAGTGCTCGGAATCCGCCTGCTCCATCCTCCCCTCGCTGCTGCTGCTCCTCCTCCTCCTCCTCCACCTCCTCCTCCTCCTCCTCCTCCTCGCTCCTCTCCTGCGATGGCTTTTTATAACTCCGGGTTCTGCGCCTTTCCCCGGGCTTGGAAGGGAAGGGGTGGGGGAGGTGGGAGGCGGGGAAAGGAGCTGAATTTTCTGGCCTTTCAAAACGTGCCCTCCTTCCGCGGCTCACTGGTGATTTCGGGGGGTTCCCCGAGCCCACAGCATGTGGGGCACACGCCCTCACCCCTCGCCCCAGAATGGGGATCGCGCGTCGCCTCGGGCCCCAGCCCTTGTCCGCCCCCCACCCCCAGCTGGGAGCCGCGGAGCCGGGGCAGACCAACAGGCCGAGCCGCGGCAGGCGAGCCCCCTGCCCGTGTCCCCCCGCCCCCGCGCCGCCCGCGCGCCCCAACACTCACCCCCAGGGCGGCCGCCTCCCGGGGCCAGGGACCGCGCATCGTCCCGGCCGCCCGGGCGCCCCCGCCCGCGGGCAGCGGCGGTCCCGGGGCCGGGCTGGGCCCGGCCTACCCCGGCCGGGCAGGCGACGCGCCGGGGCTGCAGGCGCCGCGGAGCCGGGCGCGCTCTCCGAGGCAGGGGGCGCGGGCGGGCGCGGGGCGCGCGGCGGGCAGGACCGCGGTCGGGCGGCGCCTCCGCCACCTCCCGCTCCTCTCGCTCGCCCGCGGCGGCGGCGGCTGCCTGGGCGAGATCAACAAGTCGGGCTGAGCTTCGGCGCCGCGCTCGCCGCGATTCTGTCCCGCACTTCGGAGCGCCGGGAGTCGGCACCGAGGCGGGACGGCGCCACCTGCGGGTCGGAAGCGCGCACGCCGCTTAACTCCTCCCTGCCCGGGCCGCCTGCCCGCGAGGCCGGGGGCGCGCGGGGGCCTGGGCCAAGCGCAGTCGCCCGGCCACCTGCCCTTCCCACCCCGCTACCTCCACAGCCTGCCCGCAGATCCCGCCTTCCCTCCTCCTGCCATCGCAGGGGCTGAGCGCCTACTGTGTGCAAGGCACCAACAGGCGTCTGGATACAGCTGTGAGCCAAACGCCAACATCCGGCCCCGTGGAGCTGCCTGGAGACAGACTATAAACAAAAGTGAATGAATGTGTCAGTCAGGAATCAGCGCAGCCGGAGAGCGAGCCGGGAGGGGGCTGGAGCTGGCGGGGAGGGCCGAGGGCAATTTAAATAGCCCGGCTCTAGCCAGCTTGCATTCTAGATCCCCAGATCTAATTCCAGATCGGGATGAGATTCTAGTAGCGGAGGGTGGACATGAACACCACGAATCAACATGGAGCGTGGCCGCTGGTGGGACCTGCGGAGAGGAAACACTGAGCAAGCTGGAGCGCGCCAGCGAGCTGGCTGCAGAGCCCGGGACTCATTCCTCCAGCCCCTTCAGTCGGACAGCTGGTTCCTGGGAGGTCCTGGCATGTCAGGCCCGGTGAAGGGCCTGTCTTCCCCTGGGGAGCCCTGTCCGGTGGGAAAGGGTGCCCCAAACAACCGTAAACGGGGATACACCAGAGTCTGCCTGGAGAGGGCAGGGCCTGGGCTGCCACAGCAGGCCAGCTGCTGGGGTTGCTGGTTTATTCTTTCACACACACATTTGCTGCCTGATGAATAAGTGCATGCTGGGGACACATCAGTGACACCCTGCCCTAGTGGAGAAAAACGGAGCCAGACGTGGTGCCCCAAAGTCAGCCCCTTGCCCCCTCTGGCCCTTTTCCTCTCCTCCTCCTTTCTTTGTGCACAGTGGGTGCACCCCAGGGTTGTATCTATAGCCAGTCCACTTCCCCTCCAGCTTCATCCTGATCCTTGTCCAAGGTACAGCCATCTTGTCTGCATGCATCTTCCCCTCTCCCTCCTCCGCCTTTGCCTCCTGGCCAAGCCCCCCCAAAGATGTGACATTTCATACACTGAATCCTGTCTCTTGTCTGCTCATAACTGTCCCGGGATTTCCACTTGCTTTTGACTGGATCCGAAGCTTCTGACCTGATGCTCTGACCCAGCCCTGCCCTCCCCTCAGCTGGTCGCCTGGGGGAACCAGGTAACTAAAAGCAATTTTTTTAAATGATAAAGAGTAAGACCTTGGTGACTGTTTTAAAAGAAATTAGCTGCATGGTGGGGTGCAGCGGGACCCTGCGTATTATCTTGACCCGGGTGGACAGGGAGGGCCTCTTGGAGAAGGACAGGCACTTGGAAGATAGGAGGGCATGGCCGGGCGGAGGACGAGAGAAGCCGTTTCTGGGCAGAGGGACCAGCAAGTGCGGTGCTCTGGGCAGGAGAGGGGGACGGATTGCAGGAGCAGCAAGACAAGTGGCTGGAACAGAGGAAGCAGGCGGGTCTCCACCGGGTCGTGAGGGCTTATGTGGCCATGGCCAGGACCTGGCTCTCACCCTGAGCCAGAGAGGGCCTTAGGCTGGACTGGAGAGCACCCTGGAGAGCACCCAGGGGACAGGGGTGGGAGTGCTGCCAGGGAGGAGCGGCTGGAGGTGTGGAGAGGGGCTCGGCTTGAATTTCCAAGGCGGCGCTCCCAGCATTTAGCTCTCAGTGTCCCTCTGGCTTCACGATGGCATTCCCAGGGTAAGGTGTGGCTCTCAACTGTCCCCACCCACTGAGCCAGACGGCTGAAGGTGACCCCCTCCCGGAGATCTGAGCATTTCCACAGGAGGCTGCAGAGAACAAAGCCTCCCTGTCTAGAGGGAAAAATTACTTGGGGATGGTGAAGTACCCAGACCACCGCAGCATATAGCCACCCAGGTCCACCTAAATGTCACCAGAAGTGCCTGCCTTCCTCACTCCACGGAGCCAAGGTGTGGGCATGGAAGTTTGCTGGGCATCGACTACAAATAGCCCCTGGAGGCTCCAAGCAGATGAGGTGGCTTCCAGATGAGGACACTGAAGCTCAGAGGTGGCATCATCTTGCTGGCAGTGTCTGGCGCAGCTAGGAGGGAAATCTTGCCACCCGACTCCAAATCACCGGGCCAGACAAATACCAGCGCTGCCTCTGCAAAGCCCTCCACCCATCAATCATGTATTGTCTCATGGAATCACCCGAACATTTCCTGAGCGTCCATATGGGCCTGGCATGGGCTTCAGTGCTGGGAATTGAGGGTGAAGAAACGGACAGGGTCCCGTCCTCATGGAACTACATTCCTCTCTGGCCAAGGCCAGGAGTCTGGAGGGCAACTTGACACGCGGGGTTTTTTTTTTTTTTCCTTCTGTTGTTCTATTCATTTATTTTTTCCCTTTCATCTCCCCTCCCCTCCCACCGCCTTCCCCACAGACAACACTTGTCCAGCACTGGCCGCGTCCTGTTGGTCTGGGTGAGTCCTGGAGAGGTGTGCTTGTCGTATTTTGAGCCTGTGTCAACCTATGGACACAGTGTGTGCCGCAGCTCTCGGGCTATGGCTTATTTTCCTCCAAGATCTGTCCGTGTTGCTGGGACTACGGCCATCCACTGTTCCCAGTGGCTGCACGGTTGTCCATGATGGTATGTCCCCTCTTCACTGTCCACCCTCGTAAGACCACGCAGAGGACCTTCAGCTCCAGACCCACAGACACGCCTGCACAGCCCCTCCTACACGTCTGCCGTGGACTAGCCGACGGCTTTCAGAAGTATTTCCTGCGGGTTTGGAACTGATGCCTTAGGAGATGTGTCCACACTTAGCTCAGCTCACCCAGCGTCCCTTGACGGTCTGCGTCTCTCCACAGGCTCAGGAGTCCCTGCAGCTCAGTCTCTGCTAACGTTAGCTGTTACCCAGATATCTAAATTTTGACAGTCTAACATATGCAAAGTAACATCTCGGTGTATTTAAATTTGCATTTGTCTGATTACTAATGAGTCTGAATTCTCTTCTCAGGCTTGTTGTGCAGAAGTCTAACTGCCAGCACACCCCCAGCCCATCTTTCTACTGGGGCTCCTGTTTTATTTTCGTTTTTGTTTTGGCTGGTTGGTTGGTTGGTCGGTACTGGGGACCGAACCCAGGGGGACTTTTAACAGTGAGCCCCATCCCCAGCCCTCTTTTATTTAGAGACAGGGTCTCCCTGAGTTGCTTAGGGTCTCCCTCTCCTGGCTAACTTGCTGAGGCCGGCCTAGAACCTCCGATCCTCCTGACTCAGCCTCCCAAGCCGCTGGCATCATGACACCACTGGCTTGTTTCGTTGTTTGGGTGATTTGCAGGACTCCTTCGTAGGGTCTAGATTTTAAGTCCCTTGTTGACTTTAGAG